CCGACCCCTCGCACTTGTAGGGGTCAGATGTCACGAAAGATTGGGGATTTAGATGACAAAACTAATAAGAGAAAGTATGCATTTATTTAGGGGTAAAAACGACGTAGCTGCTCAATGTTCTAGGCATTGGTGAAGACCTCGCCGTCGATGGTTTTCAATTTGTAGGCGCCTGGCCGGAGTACTTCCGTGACGACGTACGGCCCCTCCCAAGGCGGGAGAGCTTGTGGTGGTCCTTGTTACTCTGCACGAGGCGGAGAACCAGGTCCCCGACGTTGAAGGCTCGGTCCCGCACCCGTCGGTAGTGGTACCATCGCTACGCCTGCTGGTACTTGGCTGAGCGGAGGAGGGCGATGTTGCGAGCTTCGTCTAACTGGTCCATGGCATCTTCGTGGGATGCCTTGGCTCCCTGTTCGTCGTATGCTCTGATCCTTGGCGCTCCATAGTCGAGGTCGGTTGGGAGGATGGCCTCGGAACCGTAGACCATGAAGAAAGGCATGTAGCTGGTGGCATGGCTAGGAGTTGTCCTTAGGCTCTAGAGTACCGCGGGGGAGCTCGGTGATCCACCGTGCACTGAACTTATTCAACCGGTTGAAGATCCTGGTCTTGAGGCCCTGTAGGAGCATGCCATTTGTGCGCTTGACCTGCCCGTTCGTTCGAGGGTGCGCGATGGTGGCCCAATCGACCCGGATGTGGTTTTCATCACAGAATTGAAGAAACTTCTTGCCGGTGAACTGTGTGCCGTTGTCCGTAATGATGGAGTTTGGTACTCCAAAGCGATGAATGATGTCGAGGAAGAATAGTACAGCTTGTTCAGACTTGATCGCGGAGATCGGTCGAGCTTCTATCCATTTTGTGAACTTGTCTATGGTGACAAGCAAGTGGGTGTATCCTCCGAGCGCCTTCTTGAGAGGCCCAACCAGGTCGAGCCCCCAGACCATGAAGGGCCATGTGATGGGGATCATCTGGAGTGCCTGGGCCAGGAGGTGAGTTTGTCGAGCGTAGTACTGACACCCTTCGTAGGTGCGCACGATCTGCTCGACGTCGGCTACTGTAGTGGGCCAGTAGAAGCCCTGTCCGAATGCGTTTCCAACTAAGGTTCTAGGTGCGACGTGGTGACCACAGACTCCACCGTGGATATCGCTCAACAAATGCTTCCCCTGTTCGCTGGGGATGCAGAGCTGCAGGATCCCGATGTGGCTTCGTTTGTAGAGTTTGCCCTCTACAAGAACGAAGGACTTGGCGCGACGTGCGAGCCGTCGAGCTTCCATCTTGTCCGTCGGTAGCGTGTCACGGAGGAGGTAGTAGAGGTAGAGTGTTCTCCAGTCGACTAGAGGGTCGGGCTCTATCGCTGGATCCTCTTCAAGCTCCATGACCTCAGGGCCGAACGGAGCCGTCGGTTGGTTAGCCCCTGTGGCTAGATCGGGCGGACCGTCGTCGGGCTGCTCTGACCCTTCGTAGCGCACCGAGGGCTTGTGTTGGTCGCTGGTGAAGGCACCTGTTGGCACCGGCTCTCGGCTGGATGCCACCTTCGCAAGCGCGTTGGCAGCTTCGTTGAGGCGCCTTGGGATGTGATTGAGTTTGAGGCCGTTGTATTTGTCCTCCAGCCATCGAACTTCTTGGCAGTACGTAGCTATTTTGGCATCATGATAGCTTGACTCCTTCATGACTTGGTTGACAATCAGCTAGGAGTCACCTCGGATGTCTAGGCGTCGGATGCCCAACTCGATGGCAATGCGTAGACCATTGATGAGCGCTTCATACTCAGCCACATTATTGGATGAGGGAAATGGAGATGAACCATGTACCTCATACGTACCCCTAAGGGAAAATGGAGACGAAGCCACATTATCGGTCAGCTAGTGGTCACGTCCCATCCTACTCCGACGGGCGATGCGGCGTGCTAGGGTACCGAGCCGTGACCCTACGGGGAGCAGACAGGGAAGTGACCATACGTCCGTTACTGTTGATGATGTGAGTTCCCTCCTGGATTGTAGTGGTTGTCGTATGCTTATGTTAGGATCCACGCCGGGGGGCCGATGGCGGCGCCCACAACACTGTAAGACAAAAGTTAGCGCCTACAACACTATTCGGGCTCTATCATGCCTGGAAGGGCTTAAAGTGTCCGTCCCGTCGTATCCTGACGGTACTTTCCTGCAGGCGTGCAGGGCATGGTCCTCGGTAATGCGGTTGACTCGAATGTCCTGTCTCATCCTATGCTCATCATTATGAAGGAGCAGGTGCAATGCGTCGTCGAGGCGAGCCACCGACGCTACGAGGCGAGGCGGAGCCCTCCGTCGTCGAGGGCTAGCCAGCCTCGGGACGGCGAGCGGCCGAGCCCAGCCTCGAGACATGCGATGCATCCCTAGTCGTCGCGAGAGAGCGAGCCCGGACGTCGGGCGAGGCGGAGCTAGCCCTCGGACGTCGGGCGAGGCGGCGTCTGTCCCGGGACGTCGGGCGAGGCGGAGCCTAGCCCTCGGGGGTCGGGCGAGGCGAGGCCAGCCCTCAGCCGTCGGGTGAGGCGGCGCCTGTCCCGAGACGTCGAGGTAGGCGGAGCCGGCCCTCAGTCGTCGGTGAGGTGGAGCCCAGCCCTCGGGGGTTGGACGAGGCGGAGTCCAGCCCTCGGGGTCGGGCGAGGCGGGGCCAACCCTCAGGGGCCGGACGAGGTGTGGCCAACCTTCGGTCGTATGGGCAAGAAGTGCAATTGCGTTTTTGTCTGTTTGGAAGCATCAACGTTTGATGGTTATTAGCTCCACCTCATTGGGTACCCCAGTATTAGGTCCCCGACAGGCTGTATGGATCTTTGCAGTCCATTGATCTCTTAGCCTACTCGTATAGTAGTTACCTCTTCATTATTCATACATGGTTTATTTGTCTCTCTTATAAAGTTTCTTGGTTTTATGCATATAAGCCGGCTGTGAACTTACAGCTTTTCTTTTCTCATCTCCCCTCTCATCCACATCAATATATGGCCCACTTATAACTCTTTACGGTACTTTTTTTTAAACGTTGAACATGTAGACTCTTTAAAGTAGTTGACTATTCTATATAGGCCTTGGACTCTTAAAGCGTTGAACATGTAGACTTTTTAAATAGTTGACTATTTTGTATAGGCCTTGGATAATCCGTATTTATTTGATTTTACCAATTCTATATCCTACTTGCATCTGCATACAAATCGAATTTGGATTAACTGTATCCACACATTTCTCCATGATTATAATTCACACCTTTCTCCATTTTTAAAATTTAAATTCGAATAGGAGAATTATCAATGTCAGTTGCATCCCTAAGATTAACAGTGAGCCCACTATTTCGCCATTTCATATGGAAATTTTAATAAATCTCAAACTAAAACAACGATATTTGCATATCACTGTTTCAATTGGCGAGGGAGGTATATTATTTCTGATATTTTGGTTCGAAGAACTATTTCTACAAAAAATAAATAAAATTGAAATAAAAATGAGAAAACGACGCCTTTGTTTGGTGTCCACGTCAAGTTGGGCTAAGCAATGCTGTTTGGTCACATATGGTATATTTGGTTGGATGATCAATCCCTAGCCTAGTTCCTAGGAGCTAATTTTAATATGTTTGGTTAGCCGCAAGAGCCCTCTGACTAGGACTAGCAATCCGTGCCCCGATTGAACGCCCTAGTCTCCTTGAGCCAGGCCCGAGCCAACCCTATGTCCAGCTTGCATCGCCTCCCTGCCGTGGTTCCTCACCGCTCGGAACGTCGCCCTCTGCTCCACCGCGGACGCGCCGTCTCCGGCGACCCTCCCCGTGTCGTCTCCGGCGGCCTTCCCCGGTCGCCTAGGAGCTCGTGTGGCCAGACCTAGGAGCCGGACCTCGCGCGCGCCGCCGGGGATGGGGGAGCAGCGACCGCAATGGGAGGAGCTGGACCTCGCGCGGCCGACCATGGGGGAGACACGCCGGGGATGGGGACGCATGCGCGGTAGAGCCCACACGCGGCGGATCTCTTGCCTGCGTTCGCCATCGGAGCAGCGCTGCTAGCTGGGGTGGTGCGTAGACCTCGCGCTCGCCGGCTTCATCTGCTGCTGCTCGCGTCTGGGAGGGAGGAGGGGGCTCGCCGACTTCCTCTGCTGCTGCTCGCGGCCGTGAGGGAGAGAGGGGCTCGCGACTGGGTGGAGAATGAGCGTTGCCGCAAGGGGAAGACGCCGGTCGTGAACGACGAAGACGACGCGTGCGTAGCGGTCACTCGCCGGCCTCTTGCTGGATCCGGACTTGGCATGCTCCTAAACCATTCAGAACAAAGCCCATGGAACCACGAACGAAACCCAAGAACAAGCGTCGTGAGCGGCAGGCTGCGGACCACCGTGGTGATGGCTGATGGCGCCGTGCTCGCCGTGGTGATGGCTGCCGCTCCGTGCTCATTGCCTCTGGGCTGCCCTCATGCCCGCCGTGCTTGCCGTGGTGATGCCCTCGTCCTGCTGCTCACCAAGGATGAGCACCACCTGTTCGATGCTCAAAGGGGTAACCTTACCAGCACCAAGATGAGGTGATTCTGCACGAAACAAACCAGACAATGCTTCGGTAATAAAAAAATCAAACAACTAGCGATCGCTTGTCAGGAACCAAACGCACACGTAGACCCCACGAAACAAAGACCCATAATTTGGGCCCATTCACCGCAAGGCACAGTCCGAGAGGGGCACTGGCGGAGACCGGGATCACGACGATTCGCGAGTGTGGCGACGGTGGCGGCGGCCCATCGGCGTGACGGCGTGTGGGCGCTGGGCAGGAGGAGGAGGGAGGTGGTTCAGGGCCGCCGGGGCGTACGTCGGCACTCCACCACGAGCGTGTCGATCAGGGGAAGCCGACGCGCGACGCGCGACGCAGCGAGGGCACGGCGAGGCCAGTGCGCGGCGCCTGCGTCCCAGCAGGTCCTGTGCTCACCACCAGGCTCCAGTTCTAGGTGGGCGGCACTGCCAAGTCGTCAACAGTGTACGTCATCGACTAGGAAGAGAAGCGCCGTCGCGGTGATGGCGGGCGACGGAGAGGGAGCCGAGAGCTCCACCGCCGGCGAGCGGCAGGGCGTGCCCTTCGCTCTGGGCGGCCCGGTGTTCGTCCCCTTCATGGTGGGCCCCATCTCCACCGTACCAGAGTTCATGTCCTCCGCCCTCCACGAGCTCCAGGTGCGAACCGAGCCTGCTTGCAACTATTCTAAAACCCTAACCAACCTTTTTATTTCCCCCAGAGCCTTCGGTATGATTCCCTCCTCTTTCGTTTGTATCCAGGCCTTGGAAGACGAATTGGGAGACCCCGGCGACGAATTCGACGATGAGCTTTGGTAATCCCATGATTCATTCTGTTGTGTCGAAGTAACAATCCTTTTCCCTGTGCCTATTAATGTGTGGATGTGTTTTTGCAGTGTCGATGAGTTCAAGGTGCTCTCTGAGGAGGAGTTGGTGGAGCGCGCCCTCCAGGAGGCTATGGAGGTCGCCTCTACTGATAATCAGCTTCCTTTAATCACTTTGTTTTGGATTGCATTTTCATTTGAAGCTTTGATGTTTTTTTTTTCTTTCTAGGACTCGGATTCTGGCACTCAGCCACAATCAGAGGATCAAACACTTGATGGAGGGTAAGTGGCTGCTTTGACCATTGCTGGTTGGTCCACTTTGTGGTTCATTTGTTATGTTGTTATGGTCATTTAGGCAAGTCATAGATGCAACATTGGCATAGGACCTTCATTAGCAGCTAATAGTTCACAGCTAATATTAGCTGGCTACCTATTAGCTTGGTGTTGTTTGATTCCACTAGCTAAAAGGTGGATGCATTAGTGATTTTGTCTATAATTCCCTTCCTTTTCCATTTGCTATTGGTAGGGCATGTGGATAGAAGTAGGTGAGAGAACAATAGTGCCTTTTTGCAATCTATTAGCTGCTATTAGCTGAGTTGGGACTTGGGATAGCTAGTGAGATAATTGTTAGATGCGTGCCCAGCTAACAATCAGTTGACCTTTTAGCTAGGTTCATTTGGATCCACCCTGCTAATTTTTAGCAGATAACTATTAGCTGGTGGATCCAAACAGGGTTTTAATGCCAGTCATTTTGTCATTTGTGTCCAGTCTCTTTCTCATGATGTGTTATTTGGCTGTTAGAATCTGATGTATCCTTGGATTTGCCATATACAGAATGTCAGCGAATCCAACACCTACAAATGAGGCCCTCACACTAAGCCCATCGGCTGAAAGAGAGAGCTCTGGATTGCCTGCTGAAGATGTGGCGGCCGTATTAAATGAACCACAAAGCCAGATGCAAAAAGGGGAAAACTGGAACCATCACACTAGATTCTCCGGTCGAAGGAGAGAGCCATGGATCAGCTATTGACATGTCAATTGTACCATTTGAACCAGAAGGTAGTGAGGGAAATGGAATGATGCCTTCAAATCCACCAGCTGAAAATGGTGCCTCTGAATCACCTGTTGATGGTATGTCAATTGTTCCAGAGGGAACTAATGGACAAACAACATGTAGGAAGGGCAAAAAGAGAGGCAGACATTTTGATAGAGAGGTTCGAGCAGAGATTTTACATGTACGTCTATGTCTTTTGACCACCTTTTGTTTTTGTTAACAGCAATTGTTTGAGAATTCTTCTAACGCAGCTGCAGAATTGTAACATTAATTTTTCTCCATCCTGAACGAATTATGTTCATTATACATGTAACCTGTATTTGAGTAAGGTGCTATTGCTGATTAATCCATTCATCCATGTCCCTTGTCACTGATACAAATGCATATAGGACTAGTCTATTTAGGTAACACAGCCATCTGGCTACGAAAATTAATTTTGCAGTTACTCCTAATCAGTAAATCTGAAGACACTAGAAACCACAAGTCCATGGTAGATGTAAATGCTATAGTTTGTTGTTACTGTAATAGATGCAATATTCACAAGTTAAATTGTAAGGTATGCTTTTATTGAGGATTAGGTCTATTTTTGTATTAGTATCTGTATCCTTTATATTCTTCTATGCAAGTGGAGCCTGCGATTTCTGTCATTTAACGTTGAAGTACATATGCCATCTCTGTAATTTTTTTTATGTTTTTGCATAATTATATCTTTTTGTTATTTCCATGTATCAGGGAAGCTATCTTACTAAAGCAGAGAAGTGGGTACAAATCAAGGTCAAGCAAGACGAAGACAAATTTGCAGCAAAGGCTGCATTCTTTCAGGTGAGGCCGTTAAAAATCCATCGCTGCGTATTGTTAACAATCATATATTATGATTCTAGTGTAGTAGTGTACATACTTATTTGTTGGTTTTTAGTTATTCTTGATCAAATCTGGAATGTTATTATGCAAGCCATGATGAGTTGGCAATAAGATTCTAGAACAGATTAGAACTTTTGCATGTTTTTATCATTATGCACTTGACACCATGAATTAGTCTATTTCATTTTATCTCTTGACACAATTTTATATGAATATGATTCTTTGGTTCAGTGGCAATTCTGTGAAGCCCAAAGGTTCCAAGTCATCATCTGAGAAAATTGAAACGGCGAGATCTCTTAAACTAATCTGTGCACCTTGGAAGGTTTGAACCATCTCAGTTCATCTGTAGCACCCATTTACACAAGCTCCTGTCTTTGGAATTTTAGTCTTACAATCTATTTTGTTCTCAGAACAAAGCTTTAAGATCTGACGAGCACAGACCTGTGGTCCATCCAGAAGTAATTCTTTGTGTTGAAATTTATCAGAAGACATATGCCTCTGTTAAGGTATACCTTATCCTTCAGTTACACATATTTATTGTTAATGTGAAGGCCTTAATTTTATGGTCACTACCATGCCTTGCAGTCCCAGGAACTTCTTGTGCTGGGAAGCCAATTCCTTATCGATCTGAGGGACAACATTTGTTGTTTGACTGATAAGCTTATGAAGGTGGCTGGGCAACACGATCATTCTGGGTATTTCCTTATCGAGGTATGCTTTTCCTTTTTTGAAAATTGAATACGTTTCTGGATATTTGTTCTTGAAGAACTGTGGATAATTTTTTAATCTCCACTTTCTATGTCAGGACACGTTCTACAATGATACAAGACTTTTTTCTGCCACTGATTACAGTAAGCCTATACTAGATTGGCTTGAGAATTCCAGTGATGAGGTAGCAGAGAAGTGGGATGCCATAACATCTGGTGTTTTGAAGAAACGGCAAAAGGTCTTGCTGAGTGGTTTGAGTATTTCTAACGTGCCTGAATTTAAATCTGAAAAAATGCAAATGACTCGTTTCTGTGACCTGCACTTCTGGCCTGGTGCTGGGTACCTGTACTGCCATCAGGTTCTCATCTTCTCTTGTCTTACTGTTTCAGATAATTTCATTTTCCTTGGTGAAAAGTTTGTGTGGTGGATCTGATTTTCTTCGTTTTTCCAGATCTTTTATATTAAAATTTTTATTTGGCTGTCATGTCTCATATGTTGAAGTTGAATGTTTGTCGATCACAATATGAGATATGAAAACATTGGGCAGGGGTGCTTTATGGCACATTGCGCTAACCAGACAGGCTTGGTTCTTGTCTTTATTTACTTTCAAGAAAAAAAGATAAAAAGGATAGAATGTGATTATAAGTTGCTTTCTTATGCTATGTTTTTTATGGAATCTAACATTTAGTATCTGAACTGCAATGCGTATGATTCTCCATGTTTGCTCATTGCTAATTTTAACTGCACTGCATTATTCATGGTGCAGCCCTACGGGGCCAGCAGCAAAACAAAGATATCAGATCATTCAACCATGTTTCTTTCTGATATCTTGTTGCACGTTTTCAGGGCAACTGCAAGCACACAATCGTGATAAGGGACATGAGGTTGATCCACCCAGATGACACACAGAACCAAGCGGAATACCCTCTCCAGACATTCCAGTTGCAGAAGCGCTTGCAGAAGTGCTCGGTGTGCCAGATCTATCTCGCGACGAAGGTGACGGTCGACAATAAGTGGGCTCTGAACAACCCCTGCTACTTCTGCATCAAATCCTACTACCTCCTCCATTACAAGGAGGACAGCACACTGCTATATCCTCACACTGTATATGATTTCATCCAAGAGTAATGTTTCTCCTTTTTTTTTTGTCGGGAAACAGTCTATAGTTTGTACTAGACTGTACATTCTTGGCTGCAAGAAATCCACACGGAGTTATCAAGGATTTGATTAGTTACTCTCTCTAAAGTTTACTCCCTATCCCATCGAATGTTTAGACACATGCATGGAGTATTAAATATAGACTAAAAAATAACTAATTGCACAGTTTACGACTAATTTGTGAGATGAATCTTTTAAGTTTAATTAGGTCATGATTTGATAATGTGGTGCTATAGGTTTAATAAATTCGTCTCGTGATTACTGAGGACTTCTGTAATTTGTTTTATTATTACTATCCGAACACTCTCGTGTGATATCTTAAAACTTTACATTCTGAATTTAAAGAAGGCCTAAATGACTAGATGACTTGTAACTGGGTCAGATTTCCATGTTCCAAACCAAACATTGGCGTGCGCTGGCAGTACTTTTATCGAGGGCTTAGGGCTCGAGGCTTTGCGCTGTCAAGCTCTGACGAACTGAATACTCGTTATCTGACGAAACTGAAGAGATGTTAGAGACTTTCAGCTGGGAAGACAATAAAGATCAATGAACGGATGTGATGCGTCTAGGTTGTCGATGATCTGCCCGATCAATGCATGTCTGGCCGCATGTTATATGAAAATCAGAAAAATGGCACTAGCTTTTAAATACATTGGTATTTTTCCGAACTACTAGAGTACTCCGGATTTACGAAGAGAATGGGAAGTTGGGCTCAGAAGAAAGCACGCTCACTAGAAAATGCTAAAAAGCTGCGTCCATTTTCCCACGAAAAATAGGCCGTTGGGCGGGCAGCGCAGCGCGGAGGCCAGGCGAGCACGCAAACGAGAGGCCGTGGCGCGCCGCGGCCTTATCCGCAGCGGCCAACCCCCGCGCGGCCGCGCGTCTTCACGCCGCGCCACGCCGTCCGCGCCATGGGCCACCAATGGCCACCCCCACCACCACCGCGCTCACCTGCTCCTGCCGCCCCTCGCCCTCGTCCTCCGCCGCCTTCCGCCGGCTGAACATCTTCGCCCCCGTCTCTCCTCGCCGCCGCCTCCGTCTCCCGCCGTTGCACGGTGAGTCCCAAACCAGACCTTCGCGCGAGCCTTCCCTCCCTGACGAGTGACCCGTGCCGCGACGTGTGTTCGTGCGTGCGTGCTGACGACGCGTTGAACCGTGTGCGCAGTCGGCGATGACTCCAAGGAGGTGGAGGCGACGGCTGCCGCCGGTCTCCCCGAGGAGAGGTCTCAGGCGGATAAGATGGTCGACGGCATGGACTTCGGGGTGCTCTGCAACGACTTTGAATGCATAAGCAGCCCCTACGTGGAGTCCACGGCGAGGCAGATCGCGCGGGACATCCTCGAGCTGCGCGAGGACAACCGCGCATTCAACAGCTACGCCGTCTCCGTCAAATATAAGGTGCTGATCATTGCTCATGTGATCCCGTCTCATCAGTCGCTCTGCTACGCGAATTATTTTACATTTCATGAACACGGCTCTGAGACTTTCAATTCGAGTTCTCTTACATCAATATTCACTTCGGATTTTTGCACTTGAAAACTTGAAGGCGGTCGTTTCCTTAATGAAGATTTTTTAGATAATGTTTTCCTTAATGAAGTTGAGAGCATAAACGAAGTGTCAAAATTTCAACTACGTAATGTTAGACAGGAGATCGTTTGTCGTTACTAGTAGTTGACAGTGACTGATCACTTCGTAGCAAATCCTATGTTAGTATGTTACCTCTTTGCCTTCGTGCATAAGTTTTTTGTAAGGTAATTGCTCGTATTGGTTGAGTGGAACAGTTAGAACATGGAAATAGGCAAAACACTAAGACGTTAGTAATTATGTGTTCGTTCCTTTCCATGGAAGAGAACATATTACCTGCCTGTCTCTCAATTTGCCGATGGCCTAATTTCATCCTTCAGATGCTTGTATGCATGCTTCATGCTTATACTTGCTGTGCATATCTTCTTTCAGGACCCACTCAGGACATTTGTTGGGCGTGAGAAGTACAAGAGGCCATTATGGATCACTAAGGCATTGGAAAAGCCTGTAGTGGTAAGAATCGATCAGATTGTGATAGTGTCTACGACTCATATCATTGATCATTAGACTGGTTCCAGATAATCCTGCGGAATTAGATACTTCAATCCAGGATCTTAACCCAAAACTTGTTGCACAACATGCCATCATCTTAAATGTTGGATACTTCAATCCAGTATCTTAACCCAACCTTGTTGCACAACATGTCATCATGTTAAATGTTAGATACTTCAATCCAGTATCTTAACCCAAACTTGTTGCACAACATGTCATCATGTTAAATGTTTCCAGCATGCCCCTCTACAACATTCAGAAGCATCTAATCAACACTCTTATTATTGTGTCAGACAGTCCAGGAAATGTCAATGCAATCGACAAGCAATCTGACCATTAAATGGGCATTCAGAGGGAAGCCTAAGAATCCATTCTTTGCGACCATGGGAGGAAACGTCATTGTCCGTGTTGAATCGCAGTTCGTCCTGAACCAGATAAGTGGACAAGTACTAGAACAGGTCGACTCCTGGGACCTCTCTGCCTCGTCTCTTCCAGCTCAAGCATATTTTTGGCTGTCCAGAAGGGTTTACTCCACTGTTGAGTCCGGGAAGGATACAATCGAAGCTGCTAAGAGCACGGCATCTGGGCTAACAAAGGGAGATCAGAATTTCGAGGCTTATCCAGATCCTTCTAGTGATCCTACAAAGGTACATGAACCTTTTCAGTTTCATAATTGTGCTGCTACATCACCAATCTCCAGATTATTTGGCTATCCTCGCTTCTGATACTCCAAAATTCTGATGAGATCAGTTCAGTTACGCTACGCCAGTTATTCATTGCGTTGTTTTGGTTTTATTGGTGCAGTTCTTTGAAAGGCCAGATGATGGCTTCAATCAGGACGTGTACCAGATTGGGCTTCTCCTGGCCGTGATCTACTTCATTGTACAGTTTTTGAGAACGACTCTGTGACTGCGGACCAACTTCATCGTGAGTCGCAACCTGTCGAATCCTCCGCGTGTAGCCTGTGTGTATGCATGTAGATGTAGTTGTGTCTAGCAAAATAATATCATACAAGCATTCTGCCATCTGACCTGCAAGAGATTTGTGAGCTTCACTGCAGTTGATCTATTTCTGCTGATATTAGTTTGGCACGCCTCCCCCTTTTTGGAGAGAGATTAATTGGGCACTCATGATTTCAAGTTGACAATTTACAGTTTTTTTTTAATCCTCAACTCTTTTAGTTAGGTTCTTTTTTATGGAACATATCCATCAAAGTTTAGTTTTCAACTCAACACGTGTGTTTATATTATGGTTAATTATTTTTATACTTTTAAGTGGCAGATGGTGTGCTTACCGGCAATGAGGTGTCTAGTGGCATTTTGTCTACCTCAAGATCCCTTGGAGTCATAGAGGTAGGGTGAATGTGTGCGTGTCCGTATGAGCAAGTGTACGGTGTATGTAGCATTTGCATGTGTACTGTATTTGAATTAGTAATATAATATAATAAAGTTGCGGGCGTTGGTGAAAATCCGAGTGTGTACAAAATGACTTAATCGGGTTTTCAAACTCTAGTAAGCTGACATTTTTGTTGCCTCGGAACATACGGATGCAAATAATCTCTTCCTTTCGAATCCTGAGCCAAGCTCGAGCACCCGCTTAGGCCACGTCGCCAGTGAGCCTACTATGAGCCTATTCGGTTGGCTGGTTCGTGAAGAAGTACTGCTGGCTAATTTGTGTGAGAAAAATATTGTTCCGGCTATAAATTTACGATCGTTTATGATAAGCCATAGCGAAACGAACAGGCTGGCTGTGGCTTGGCTATGGCTTGTCGTAAACGATCGTAAATTTGCAGTCAGAATAGTATTTTTCTCTCACACAAACCAGTCAACAGTACTTCTTCACGAACCAGCAACGAAACGAACCAGCCAACCGAACATGCTTTATTGATCCGGCAAGCAAGCAATGTGCTCCGTCCGATGCTGGAGCGGTTCGGGTCTCTGCCCGCTACTATGCCCATCCGACAACTCGCGATGTTTCTCGGGCCGTTGGCCCGTCGTGCTCCTTGGTACCCTGCCCCCCATCTCGGGATATTTAACTTTTTACCATCATAACGGATGGCCACTCCTCGGATAACAGGTTTAGAATTGGCGCTACGATTTTAGCAGCTGAGAGAGAAAAACGATACATTTTTACCACAATTGCTGGCGTGGCATGCCACCTCAGCTAGCCAGCGTGGCAGGCGAAGGGAAAATGACCGCCTCTGCCCCTACCCTTTCTATCCCTCCCCACGCGCGGCCCGGCCCACTCTAGCTCGCCCTTCCGCTCCTCCTTTCTTCTTCCTCCCGCTCTGCTCGCCGACGCTGCCACCCAACGTCGCCGCACACCCCGCCGCGCCCAACGCCACCCCCACCGCGAGCCATGTCCTCCCCGAGCACCTTGGCGTTGGAGTGAAGGTACGTGCCTTCGAGGCCCTCTCTCCCAGGTCCGCGTTTGCCATTTGATTTTGGGGTTAGGGTTAGGGTTCGTCGATTTGATTTGGTTTTTGGGCTTCTCTGCTTCTCAGGCCGCTGTGCATTGGATTCTTCAAATAATGGATTGGAGTGGTTGTCCCGTTTGGTAAGCTAAATCGGTCCCTCCCATTGTACGCTAGCTGTGCAGTGTAGGATGTACTCTAACTCTTCATTTATTTCTTGTTGATGCATTATGTTAGGATTGATCCTGGCAACGCGTTTAGACTAGTTGTTAAGGTTTCTAATTATGTCATCGATGGAGAGTATGGACTAGTAGAAATGGCCGAGCAAGAGCATGAGTTGTGGTTGGACAGAATTGGGCAGTATACTCTTGAGAAATTTCATAATGACATGTCCACAAAGACCATATGGGGGCCATCACAAACTCTATCAGTGTGGGTACTTGACAATGAAAGTGTAGGTTCTGAATGAAAAGTGAGAAGGGATGAACATTTTCAGCAGTTGGTGAAGGATAGATGGGCACAAAGGGTTGCTTTTCTTATAGTTGATGTTGTCAGTAAACATGCAACCTCTGGTAATGCTAGTTCTTCACGTAGATATGCATCTGGGGTCACTACAGGTGAAGGCAGTGGAATTCCTGGTAATAATGCAGAGGGCACAGGTGATACATGCAGTTCGCCGCCTCCATCTGTGCCTCCTGATATACCAGAACTAGTTAATTGGGCCAATCTGATCATACAACAAGATGAAAGTCATGATGGTGATGCTACTGCAGCTGCAGATGAGGACAAAGTATATGAGGCAATGGGCTTTAGAGCAGCAGATGAGGGGGCAGAACAAGCAGCAAGGGAAGCAATACCTATTCCTGCAATGACAGCTGAAATGCAACATGGTATGAGTGAAGCTGCTATTCCAGTGGATGACAATGTATCATATGAGCCTGTGCTTGATTGGGACAGGGATAATCCTGACCTGTCTGTGGGAATATCATACCCTAGTATGCATGATTTGAGGCTAGCAGTGAAGCAGCATGCCATTGTAAAGAAGTTTGAACTTGGTACTGCTCATTCTGATAAGAAAAGATATAGGACACATTGTGCTGCTCTTGGATGCCCTTGGATTTTTAGAGCTAGGACACAACATGATGAGATTGTTAGGGTACATTTTCTTGTTTTTAGTACTAGTGACTTAATTGTCTCTCTCAGCTTTTTACTTATGCAGGCTTCTTCTATCCTTTTGCAGGTTCAGATAAATGAAGGTATACACACATGTGCTTCTAGATCAAGAGTGGAGGGGTGTACAATGGCTTCTCAGGCTTGGGTGGCAGAGATGGCTATACCCTTAGTCAAGAAGAAGCCTAGCATGGGTCCTAAGGCATTACAGGAAGCCCTTTAGGATAAGTACAAGATTCAGATCAACTATCAGACTGTAGTTTATGGTAGACAAAGGGCAGCAGACAAGTTGTTTGGTAAATGGGATGATTCATTTGATTGGTTGTATAGATTCAAGGCAGAGGTTGAGATGAGATCACCTGGGAGTATATTAGAGATAGACACTGAGACTATGGAGGACAAGGTACATTTCAAAAGGTTCTTCTACTGTTTCAAAGCTGCAATTGATGGTTTCAGATATGGTTGCAGGCCGTATATCAGTATAGACTCAACAGCATTGAATGGACTTTGGAATGGACATCTGCCTGCAGCTCAAGCTTTGGATGGACATAATTGGATGTACCCATTGGCTTTTGGATTTTTTTGACTCCAAGACTAAGAAAAATTGGACATGGTTTATGGAGCAACTAAGCAAGGCAATAGGCCCCATGGACAAGCTAGTTGTTTGCACTGATGCTTGCAAGAGCCTTGAAGCTACAGTTGCCAAGGTTTTCCCAAACTGTGAATGGAGGGAGTGCTTCAGGCATCTCATGGAAAATATGAAGAAGTACTACCATGGTGATGTTTATGCCAAGAACATGTGGCCTGCTGCTAGAGCTTATGCACCACACAAGTTTACCCATTTCTTTGACAAGGTAATAGAAGCTAGCCCAAGTGTGCTTGACTAGCTCAAAGATCATCACAAGCTGTTGTGGGCAAGGAGCAAGTTTAGTCCAGACATCAAATGTGACTACATAAACAATAATCTGGCTGAGAGTTGGAATGCTTGGATCAAGGAGCACAAGAATCTACCTGTTCACTGCTTGGCTGATGCAATTAGAGAGAAGACACTCAGGCTTTTTGCAAAGAGGAGGAAGATAGCTAATGCTTTGCCTTCTGGAATTCTACCTGCAATTATCCGTCAGCTCAATGCAGCTTCCAGGGGGTTAGACCATCTTAAAGTGACTAACAATCACCCAGAAGAAGCAGAAGTGACTGAGATCTACAAAGATGAAGAGGTTAGGAGGCATGTTGTGTATCCAACACAACATATTTACACATGTAGAGAGTGGCAAGTGACTGGAAAGCCTTGCCCTCATGCATTGGCTTTAATCACAACTCTGAGGCAACCAAATATGGCCATATATGTGAACAACTACTACTCTATTGAGAAGTTCCAGGCTACATACAATGGGATTATTCCTAGCATAACAGATAGTGGACAGTGGCCCTAGGTGGACAAGGGCTTCAAGTGCTACCCACCCAATATGAAGAAGAGAGAACAAGACAGACAGAAGAAGAACATGCATCTTGCCCCAACTGAGAGAAGTGGCAAAGCAACAAGACAGGTGAAATGCCTTGGTTGTGGTGAGTATGGCCACATGAGTGGAAGCTAGAGGTGTTCACTGACTGGCACCAAGAAAAGGTAATGTACTGCCCCTACTGTTAAGTACAATTATAACAGTTAACCATAGACCCTAACAACTACATTGCAGGAAAAGGACTAAAAAATCAACCCCTAAACCTGGAAGGAAGAAGAGGCAGACAGACCCTACTCCTAGAGGAGAAAATACACCAAGAACAAGGGCAGCAATGGCTAGAGAAGCTGCAGCTAAAGCTTCTGTAGCAGCTGAAGCAGCAGCAGCTGCAGAGAGAGAAGTCCTAGATGTGGCTCCAATTGAGGTTCAACATGCACCACCCTCAACCAATGCAGCAACTAGAAGGTATGTCCTACTTATAAAATTGCATATTTATGAATATCATCTAACACTTGGTATGTTCTTTAAATAGGAACCTCTGCTAGGATCTACAGGTGCTGAATGAGGTCGATGAAACAGCAAGTGCTTCTGTGGACATGCAACCTAAGAAAATGACTCCAAGAAAGAAGCAGCTAGCTACAAAGGTGAGGAAGAGCCCAGCCAAAAAGGGGAAGAAATGAGAGCAACATCTGTGACATGTTCATTTTGGTTGTAAAGGCCTAAAAATTGTCTCTTTTGTGTGACTAGGACCTTCTGATCACTGTGTTTGAGCTTATTTGGTTCATGCCATCTGCCTATTGTGAACTGCTATGCTGGATTTGATATGGCCAAAATCTAAACACAGATGCATGAAACCAGACATTTTATTTTCATTCAAACACAGGCAATGAACATGTTCATCTGCTAAATCAGTAAACATGCCTACATTGTCACTTCCTAACAACATACATCAGTACACATCCAACTACAAAACATACAACATAGGCAATGAACATGTTCATCTGCCAAATCAGTGACTCCATCTTCTCCTCCAATTCTGTCCCCTTCTTGTCACCCCTCTTGTCACCATTTGGACTGTCAACTTCCTCTTCCTGTGACATGTTCACCTCTTCCCAGTTCGACGGCCGAACCAGGATAATGCCGTTACGCTGCAAATCCTAAAATATCCCTTCTCAAATCGGTAGTATCCACAAAGCTTCGGGTACTGGAAATATCAACTAGGATTAGAGGAAGATTTAGAGCCCTAAATGCCAACGAGGGGGAATAGATGAGATTATACAGAACTTACCCCGTTCCTCGCGCATTTGAAGTACAGACGGCCGTGGTTTTCGCTGTCTTTCTTCGGCCGCCCCTCCACCACCCTAGCAATACCGCAGTCCGAGCACATGATCAGCGGGAAGCCACTAAGCTCACTGCTTGGATCCATGGTCATGGAAGCGTCTTTGAGCTCGAATCCTTGCATGACCTTACTCTCGGCCCTTCCATGGAGGAGGAGCCGATGCACAGATACTAGGACATGGCTCATGGGTGGGGCGGCGTTAAGCGTGCAAGGGGTGTCTGGTGTCGGGCGGGTGGCGGCGCGCGAGAGCAGAGGAAGAAGAAACGAGGAGCGGAAGGGCGAGCTGGAGTGGGTCGAGCCACGCGTGGGGAGGGATAGAGAGGACAGGGGCAGGGGCGGTCATTTTCCCTTCGCTGCCACGTTGGCCAGCTGAGGTGTCGTGCCACGCCAACAATTATGATAAAAATGTATCATTTTTCTTTTCTCAGCTGTTAAAATCGTAGCACCAATTCTAAACCTACTATCCGAGGAGTGGCCATCCGTTACGATGAAAAAAGTTAAATATCCCCCCTTCTCGATGCAGGGGAGAGCGGGCGGCAGCGAGGGCGCGGCGACCTTGCGAGGAGACGCGAACGCGTCCAGCCTAGGGCACGGGCGCCGCCGCCACAGGTGGCGCCTGACCGTTGGCCACCACTCAGCTCAGCTGCCTCGCGCGCCCCCCTCGCCAGTGCCCGCGCGGCGCCGGCCGTCAAATCTCGAGTCACACGCCACAGCGAGGACCTACAGCGGCGCGCGCGCCTTCGCCGCGGCCTGGTGTGGGGCCAAGAGGGCCGCGAGAAGCACCCCGTGCTGTATAGACGCGAGCGCGGCGGCGGCGGAAAGCGCGCCGAATCACGCCTCGAGCGCCACCACCCCCCGCTCCTCGGCGTGAGGCGACGGGCAAGGCCGCTTCCGAGTCACAGCAAGAGGACCAAAAGACTACGAAGGGCTTACAGTACTCCATCGTCACCTTCGCCGAAGATCACGCCCACAGAGAGCTCTGCTCTCCTTCAACAAGGTAATCTCTAGCCAAATCCCTCCTATATGGCTATATCTAGCTCCTTCAGCTGGTTGCGCATCCCGTTTCTTGATGTGGTCATGTGGATCTATGGCAGGTGTGGTCCTTTCTTCTCTCTATGGTTTTGCTGCTACGACAAGAAGGTGAACAGTACACGCTAATAAGAACTTGCACATTTGGCACTAATCCATGCAGAAACTTGTGAAAATTATAGGAAAAATAACTATAGATCCAAATATTGTGAAATTAATTTTGTTAGATTCATAACATAATCCTGTACCTTTTTAAAATATGTTTGCACATGTTACTCTAACCATGGCTCAGGATTCGTATTATAGATATTATAATGCGCACAACTTGAAAAGATGCAAAATAAATTGCCGAGGTCTCTACATATTTCAACACCAATTTTATTGGATCTGTTGTGATATGCCCTTAGCTTGAGATGTCCATATGCACATGTATCTTTATGTTACAATGATTTATGTGCTTTAGTTGCCTTATTTTGGCTGGTCCATGTTCAAGTGTACAATATCTCTCTGAACATTGCAAATCTCATAGTATTATCTTTCAGAAGAATAGAGTTCTCTTTTGATTATGACATCAAGATTCAGGAATAAAACCTGCCTCGTACCTTTTTGATTGATTTATTAATAGGTCCACATGTATCAACAGTGGTACTTTACTATCTACCTAAGCTGACATAGGACTACACAATTGCCTACATTTTACCAAAATCAATAAATACTTAACTATGCCATAATTTACCATCAAATTTTTTATTTCTTTAGTTTCAGACAATTTGCAATTGTCGAATTCTCTTCTTCTTTATATTATTTATATTCTGCATATATTCTTAAGATATTTGCACTAGAACTAGAAGGCATTTGTGCGAGGAGCGAAAAAGCCCCTTGAACTCTTAAATTTCAACCTTAATTACCACATGCTGATGCTAATGATGTTGTTGCTTTGATGGTTGCTAATTTGATAATTGTGCAACTTGTTCTTGCTGGGAGTAGTCGTACTCATGTTGCAGCAGCAGGTGCCACTACTTTCTTGACCTTGGTATAAATTTTCAGATTGATCTCATGAATATGACTGATTTGGATGATGGCTGATCGTTTATGTCATATATGAAAACTAAGATTTGTTTCTATTTATGTGATACTATGAACTCCAATATCATTTAGAATTTTATATAATTTTTCGGGTTATCTGAGAGAATTTGTCATGAAAATAGTTATAGGCAGAATAATATGATCTTGTGGTTAAAACACTATTTTTTTTCATTACAACCACACTTATGCCCTATTGAATGATTTGACAAAGGACCATACTCTGATCTACAGCCGATTTGTTTATGAAAGTGGTTTGGTTTAGCAAGTATAGAAGTAGAACCTAGGTAACAGGGTTAAGTTCTAGCTTACCTCCTGGAACTTTGCTTTTCCTGTCAGTTGATGCTAACTATTATTTTCTTTAACTGTAGACTGCATCTAAAAACTGATTGCTTCTTGGTGTGATCATATGTGAATGATTATTTTTGCCTCTGTCATTTTGTATTTCAAGCTATCGTCCCATCGTCGTGACAGGTCAAACAAGGATGATGATGAATCGGAGAGTATGAAGGACAGTGAAGCTGACCTGGACAATGCTTGTCTTTGCACTATGATACTGAAGTTGCATCACTGAAATCTTCCTCTCGGCCATGCCTTGTTCTTGATTAAAAAAACTTAATTGCTGAAAGAAAAAGACACTGAAGATTAACGCCCTGTTCGCTTGGGCCTGTTTGGCTGATAAGCCATGGCTGAAAGTACTGTTGGCTGATTTGGTGTGAGAGAAAAATATTGTTCGTTGCTGAAAAAGTACGGCTTATAAGCCAAACAAGCCAAAGCGAACAGGGTGTAAAACATGTTCCATCATTACAGTGCCTGGGCAACACCATATGAACTAGGGTCTAGGAGGGACAGATACTATGTCAAGCGCATTTTTAAAAGCACTCATAAAATTATTTGGGTTGAATTGTTGATCACTTGAGATTGCATTTAATGGCATGCTTTTAAACAGAGATGAAGATCCTATGTAAAGTACATTAGGCACTGATTTGTGCCCATGTAAAACCATTTGTATCTGTGATTGCATTTGACTACCTATTACTTTCAGTCATCAATATTGGTGTCTATCTACTTCAACTTTCATTTATGGATTCCTAGTAAGATTTTCACGGTTTGTGTTTGGTTACTTTGTTACACTGAGTCAAATATCGACATTTATCAGAGGATGATTCTATGAACAATTGCCCAGTTTGTTGCAAAAATCAGAGTTGTAAGGTTCCTCTGCAGATGGACATAATTAGAGACTTCAAAGACAACAAGAAGTCTCGGACAGTAAAATTTATGCTGGTGGTTAACTTTTGCTACCTTCCGGATCAAGGCATTTTATTATATGTTAATATGTGTACACCTGCCTTTTGCTCCCTTGGCTCAAATAATTGCACCAAGAGTATGCTACTCCATTTGCAATATTCAGGCATGCAATATATATGTTTTAATATGTCTTAAGATCAGACAAAGCATTTGTGTCGAACACCACTGGCCCCATGCAGAGTAAGCGCGGGCAACGCGGCGCGCATTTCTAGTTTATAATGTATTTGTATCTTCAATAAGTTATTGTTTATGGTCTGATTCCAGACAAATTTCCTTTTAAGATCCATATGAATTATGATGGCTCCAACAAGAATTGGATCTTGGCCATAGTGAGTACTGTCATGGGTGACTATGTTCGCCGGTGCTTCGAAAACAGCTTCCAGGCTGAATTCATCAGAAATTCTGCCAAACAGTAGCTAGGCGCTCTATCAAACAGGTTGTAAGCCGAATTCTCCTGGCCCTGGCCTCATCGATATCCTCCAGGGGGTGCATGTGTGACGTTCTTTTGAGAATCCAAGGACACTTTACGCAACCTGATGCGAACAGGGTGTCTGCTCAGTTTGACTTGATGTGAGAATAAACTTCGTACAGAGTCTAGGATGCGGATTGATTTTCCATGTTCAGTTAGTTGGCCATGCGCGGCGCGTCGAACGGCACCTCTCCAGGCCTCCTGCGTTTGGGGATGGCAATTCACTGTGAAGAGGAGCGTGGCGCGTATGTGGGGCCGAGTGGCAATGGTCTCTTATAATTGTTGCTTATTTTAACATTATTTTTTGAACGGAAATGCATGAGACTGCCGATTTCTACTTTCTATTAAAAGGGCGTACCTAGTGCAGAGGCCGCTCCGTGCGGGGTCTGGGAAGGGTGTCAGTGGCAAGCCTTACCCTCGCCGGATAATAAATAAGAATAGTTACAAAGTTTGCTAAGCCTGGGAGGTCAGAAGCCGTATAATTCAACAACTATAGTCACAGAAAAATTGTCCATTGCAGCACCAAAAACAGCAAGTTCGTGAGCGAGTTCTTCATCAGAGCTCGTGTGTTTGTGTGCGTGAGCTGAGAGTTCGCCTGCGACGTGGAACCGTCGTCACTCCGGCGTTGTCCGACAAGAGAAAGTTGTCGGCCTCAACATGTACACTCAATGGTATATTGTCTGAGCTCTACCAATCTCTTCTTTGTTTCAGTCCTTCAACAAGTGGAAAATAGATCTCACCTCATTGCAGACTGTAGAATTTGATGATTGTTTGGCACTCCTGTTTGCAGGTGCGGGCCTTGTTGCAAAGTCATGGCACCGGAATTTCAGTAAACGTCAGAGAAGAACCTCAATGTTGTGTTCCTCAAGCTCGATTGCAACGAGGACAGCAAAGTCAGTTGGGATTACTTTGCTCTCTCTTGTGTATTCACGACGCTGGTCTGTGCTCCGTGGAATATGGCATGCTGAAAAGCTCCAGCGCATGCTACTTGCAGCTTCTTGTGAAGAAGCTGGGTAAAGGTTGCACCAACAATCAAGATCCTCGAGGACGGGAATGATGTCATTGCTCCCAAGATCGATGAATTAGCTCGTGCTATCGAGACAGTGAGGTCAAGCCGAGAAATGACCTGAAAAATATACACGGATTAGCATACTATAGCTAATGTACACTGTGAATGAGGCACCCCCCCCCATCCCCC